TCCAGTATTTTCTCCAGGAATTAAGAAATGCACCAAACCGTACGTGATCACGAACAAGGCTTCATGAGGTTGGAAGACTAAGTAGCTCCTTCAGAACCCTGATACACTTCTCGTTAAGATGGTGGTTTGGAGCGCAGCGGCCACCCAGGACTCGAAGATGGCGTCTCCCGTGCCCCTGAAGGAGAAGCGCCTCCTGGATGTCAGGATCGCGGAGCTGCCCAGCTGGGTGCTGATGCGGGACTTCACCCCCACGGGCATTGCCGCATTGCCGGCGCCTTTCGGGAGAGGTTACGATCGGTATTATAACAAGTACGTCAACGTGGGGGAGGAGAGCGTCGCAGGCGTGTCCATGGTGTTGGCAGCCTGTGTGGGTTTCAGCTACTGCCTGTCCTACAAGGAGCTCCAACATGAGCGGTTACGCAAATACCACTGAGGAAGCTGCAGCGAAGCTGTGGCAAGAGTGCCGCCTGCTTTCCTGGCCTGGCCACTTGCCCTGCCCCTGCCCCCGGCAAGAGCCCTTGAGAATGTGCCCAATAAAAGATGACAGATAAAAAAAAAGAGATGGTGGTTTGATGCATTCTTCTGGGTCATACACACATCAATGAAAACTAACATATAAGAACCAACAAATTTACATAGAGAGACAGACAGACAGATTCACAAATTCACTGACTAAGGAAGACGGAAGAAGAGCCGATGCATTTGAATTAGGGTACTGGTGACGAATACTGACAGTATCACAGACTCCCAAAAGAATGACCAAATCTGCCTTGGAAGTACAGACAGAACCCTTCTGAGAAGCAAGGATGGTAGATGTCATCTCCAGTACTTCAGACATGTTACCAGGAGAGATCAGTTTCTGGGAAAGAGCACACTGCCCGGTAACGTGGAGGGGCAGCGGAAACGAGGAAGGCCGTCGACAAGGTGGACTGACAGTGGCTGCAACAATGGGCTCAAACATAACAGTTGTGAGAACGGCGCAGGATCAGGCAACGGTTCTGTCGTGCATAACGTGTATCTATGGCATCGGGACACAGCTCTCCATGGACTAGAACTGACAGTCCCACAATAACCCTTCATATTTATGGTCAGCTCATGTTTGGCAGCGGCGCCAAGACAATTCCATGGAGAAAGAATACTCTTTTCAGCAAAGATGCTGGGACATTTGCCTCTCCATCCACAAAAGAACGAAACTAGACGTGTGCCTCGCACCACGTCCAAAAGGAACTTACAATGGGCCGTAGACTTTACAATAAAAGACAAAACTACAAAAGAAGGTTTAGAAGAAAATTGTAGAAGTTCAAAAGAAAAGCACGGGTAAAGCTGTACATCTTTTATTTGGCAATGGTTGCTGGGTTACGGCAACAAAAGCATGAGCAACACAAAAGAAATACAACAAATTGGACTTCATCATAATTAAATATTTCAGAGCTTTGCAGGAGACTTTCATGGAAGTGACAATACAACCTACGAAAGATGGGTTCGGAATCATGGCTGCCTTAAGTGTTTGGGAGTCCTAGTTGCACAGTGGTTACGTACTGGGTTGCTAACCACAAGGTCAGTGGTTTGAAACTACCAACTCTGGGGGAGAAAGATGAGCTTTCTCCTCCCACAGTGACAGTCTCAAACCCACAGGGGCTGTTCCACCCTGTCCTACAGGGTCGCTATGAGTCAGAATTGACTCAGTGGCAATGAATTCGGGTTTTTTATTAAGGGTTTAGTAAGAAGAAAGAACTCATACAGCTCAATAACAAAAAGGAAAATAACTTGATTTAAAATGGGCAAAGGATTTTAACAGAGAACTTTCCAAAGAAAATGTTCATTCAAATGAACAAGAAGCGCATGCAAAGATAGTATCGTTAGCCATCAGAGAAACATAAATCAAACTACAAGATAACCACTTCACACCCACCAGGATGTCCATCTTCCAAAAGATGAACAATAAGAAGTGCTGGTGAGGCTATGGAGATAGTAGGATCCTTATATGTTTCTGGTGGGAATATAATAGTGGCTACAGAAGCAATTTGTGTGTTTGTTGAAACAAACAAACAAACAAACAAACAAATAGAATTCCCATATAATCTAGCAATTCCATTCCTCAGATAATTCAAAATGTATATCCACACAAAAACTTATCGAAAATGTTTGCAGCAGCCAATAATCAAAAAGAGTTAACCCAAATGTCCATCCAGTGAGGAATGCATAATATCTTGGATTATAAAAAAGTATAAACTGAGGAAAGCTATTACGATGAGGGACTTTTCATGTTGAAAGCAGTACTATGATCTAATCCATAGTTCACAGGACGCTGGTGCATAGTGGTTACCAAGGGGGCTGCAACCCACAAGGCCGGCAGCTTGGTAAACATTCCCCCCACAAAACAGTGGGATAACCACCTATGATCTAGCTCTTTATCAATCTCTCTCGGGTCTTAGAAGATCCAGAATCTAGCTGGGAAAGAGGTACAGTATATACTTGTGTATAAGCCGAGTTTTTCAGCACATTTTTTAATGCAGCTTTTGTGGCAAAATTAGGTGCATTGGCTGATATTTGGGTCGGCTTATACTCGAGTATATAGGTATATACTGAAACATAGAAGTCGGAGTGAGGCAAGCTTTAGTAAAAGACTTGTTTCCCAATGCATGTGATTCAAGAGAAGGGCCTTCAGACTGAGGCGCCAGTCGCCACAGCTCTGCAGTAAGGCTAGTGATGTCATTGAGAAGGTGCTTACAGCATGACCCTGGCAATGGAATAAGGCCGCGGGGAGCCATGATTCCTGCAGCCATCCAAGGGAAACAAGGAAAGACATCTTAAAAATGAAAATTTCATCATTAAACAAAAAAAAGCATAAGCAGACGAGGTCTGCCTTCCGGGTTACATAATTAGACATTGAAATTAGAAACCATCCCGCAGAGCATGTGGCAGCCATTGTCTGGTGAGTCGGGGGCAGAATGGTGGATACAGCGCATGGATTGTGCACACCAACCTTGTTCAAACGTGCCTTCCAGAAAGCTGAGCACTGCAACCCTCAGAGCCCCTTGCAGTTAGGGGCACGAATCCGAGGCCTCAGGTAGACATGCATGACATAAGGGAGGTGGGATGAAGGCAGGGGCAGCTCCCTGCTTCTGCTGATGCCTTACTGAACTTCTGCGGCAGCTTTGCAGACCCCAGTGGCCGGCTCATCAATGTAGAAGGAGCCACTATGCTTGGCTGACAACAGAAAGAATGGTGGTTCGAGGATACCCAGCAGTGCCTTTGGAGAAAAGCCTAGGGACGCATTTCTGAAAAAAATCAGCTATTAAAAAGGCAGGGGCATAATGGTTACTTGTTGGGCTGCTAACCACAAGGTCAGGAGCTTGAAACCACCCCCTGCTCCAAGGGAGGAAAATGAGGCTTTCTGCTCACAGTCTGCTCCCAGCGTTACTGTCTCAGAAACCCACAGGGGCAGCTCCACTCTGCCCTATAGGGTCGCTGTGAGTTGGAAATGACTTGATGGCAGTGAGGGAGCTAGGGCGTTTACCCTGACACCCCTGGGCTTGCCATGAACGAGAGGAGTAGACCTGAGGCCAATTGAGCTTGCGGGGGCGGGGGGGGGGGGGGCATGGGCAGGGAACCGCGGGGGGAGAAGGGAAGAGAGGAAGCACCCTCAGCATGCCAGCATCTGAACCTAATTCCACCAGCGGCACAGGCCTTGCAGCTGCCCTGGGACGCAACTGAGTAGAAGACGGCGTGTGCATCTGGGAGAGCGGAAACCTGAGCGCTCCTCATTTCCAGATTGATGGTTCTCACAAAACGGGGGTGACGGGAGAAAATGTTCAGAATGGGCCCTGCAATGATGCTTTTCAAACAAAGGTTGAACACATCCCCAGCAGGAGTAACTCTGCTGAAAGGGCACATTCATGGAATATGTAAATACGTGTTTTAATCCGTCTGAGCAAAGGGGAAAGGTGCAAAGGGTTGAGGAACGACAGGGCTGAAA